GCTTATAGGGAAAACTCGAACACTACTGCAGCTCTGATAAAGTGCCAGCATCATTGGCTAAAATGGTTAGACGATAAGGCTAACTTCATTCGGGTAATATCCTTCGATTTCAGTAAAGCGTTTGATAGCGTCCCCCACGATATTTTAACACAGAAATTGAAATCAACAAATCTTAATCCATATATTATCAATTGGCTCATTAATTTTATATCGTGTAGGAAACAGAGAGTTACTGTAGATGGAACTGTTACCAATTTTGTTAATATCAACAGAGGAGTACCTCAAGGTACAGTTCTTGGCCCCTTCTTATTTTCGTTAATGGTCAACGACATTGAAGCCAAACATCCACAAACGAACAGTTTGGTCAAGTTTGCAGATGATTTAACAGTGAGTGTTCCTGTCACATCGTCTGGTGACTCGGCTTTGGACGAGGTAACTAACATTGAGAGTTGGGCAAGCAACAATAGAATGAAACTCAACTTTAAAAAAACCTGGGAAATGTTACTATGTACTCGTTCACCTGCCATACCTCCCCCCCTTATTAATGGAATACGACGTAAAAAATGGTTAAAACTACTTGGTGTCACCTTTCAAGAAAACCCACGTTGTTAGGACAAGCAGGTAGATAGCTTGTTGTCAAAAGCAGCAAGTCGAATTTATACATCCTGAGAGTTTGTAAATTCTACGGATATTCACTAAATGAACTTACTAAATTGTTCGATTCATTGATCCTGTCGTTATTTTACTATGCAATTGAAGTATGGGGATCGGCTTTGCAAGCGAAATACATTGATAAATTCAACAAGTTTCTCAATCGTGCATTCCGATATGGATACACTCAGAATAAATATTCAATGGCCAAGATGATTGAAGAGAGGGATCGATTATTGTTCAATAAGGTCATGCACAATCCTGAACATTGCCTATATGAGTTGTTACCGGAAGAACGTCGACGACCTTTAATTTAAGAGAACGCGATCATCAATTTATGTTACCAAAAGTTTACACAACGTTTTAAACAATCATTTTTGAACAAGTGTCTTTTTAATGACCTTTAGTTTTAAAATTTTGTTATATACGATATATAATATTAACTATAATGTAAATAATTTAATTTATAAATAATACTAAATTTGTAAATAATCTAATTAACACTTCTCATATGCACTGAACGTTTTAATAATTACTATATATATATTTATATATATCTTATATGCACTGTAAAGATGCACGTTTGTTGCATCTTCAATTTTTAATAAAGACGTATAATAATAATAATAATAGTATATTCCCTCCTATAACTGTGAAGTGGCATGAAACCGATAAACCTTGGATAACCCCAAGTATTAAAAAACTGATTAAAGACCGACAGAAAGCATTCCATAACCATACTACCCCCCTATGGAAATTTTTAAGATATAAAGTCCAAGAGGAGATTAAGCAAAGAAAGAAATCATTTTGTAAAAACAAAGTTCATGGAAAATCATTAACAAAATGCTGGCAAACCCGAAACAACAAAGCCTTTCACCTTAGAACGCGATGGTGAAATCCTAAACAATTTACAAGCTTCCAATGCTCTTAACGAATTCTATACTTCCGTTAACGCTGATATTCGGCCATTAGATGTGAACTTATTACCACCGTTTTTACCATTTAATGGTTCAATTGCTCTGTTATATGAGACAAGAAAACGCGAACACGATTTAATATGTGGGAGAATGGGTTTTTGGGGGTAAAGTACTCCGGTTACACTTAAACTATGGTCTGATCCCAACGACTCATTATAGCTTATGATCATCCCGCGGGGGTGTATATAAGACCCGCTAGGAGAGACTGAATGCTCCATAGGAGCTCTGCCCGAAGGGTAGCGACCCCCTCTGACATAGACCTGAACCAAGGGGTGGTAATCCCCTTGGACAGTACCTACGATTCGACTGATTACATTCAATACATCTGAGTCTATGGGCCTGAAGTTGACCATTGGGAGCACTTTAACCCCGAAAACCAATAATATATATATATATATATTTATTTTTTTTAAATATAAAAGTAACAATTAACACCAATGTATATAATATTCTAATAATTATTTGGGGAGGCACAGTACAATTAAGTTCAGTACAAGTGTTCTCCCAGTGTATCTAATATTTCCCCGATACAGCATAGTCCTCTGTCTAGTGATCACCATGTTTTCTCATGTGGACACAGCATCCTGTTTCCATCAATAAATTCTCTTTGGATGAATGGATACCTCTGGCCAGAAGTGGTGGGTGGGTGGGATTAAAGAATTTGAGCAGCTTTTGATATATCCTATAGCTCTGCAAACTTTAAACAAAGTGATATATTCCGAGCATGCTTTGACTTTTCATTGCCTATTCTGAATTTGATTGGTCAGTTTTGGCGGTTTGAGGAAACTGTATTCTCATTGGCTTGTAGCTGTTGTATCATCACCTGTGCATGTGCATACATGTGACGAGCACGAAGTGACCTTTGAGATTTTAAAAACAAGCAGCTCCTGGCAGGCAGATGAACTTTGTACTGTCCGAGTGACAAAGCACCTTTGCACAATTTAAATGTAGGCAATAGGTTGCATTAGCAATAGGTTGCAAATGAGCATTGCTCCATTAACTTGAATTTATATAATTGTATATATAAATTGGCTTTAATGGTTCAATTGCTCTGTTATATGAGACAAGAAAACGCGAACACGATTTAATATGTGGGAGAATGGGTTTTGGGGGTAAAGTACTCCGGTTACACTTAAACTATGGTCTGATCCCAACGACTCATTATAGCTTATGATCATCCCGCGGGGGTGTATATAAGACCCGCTAGGAGAGACTGAATGCTCCATAGGAGCTCTGCCCGAAGGGTAGCGACCCCCTCTGACATAGACCTGAACCAAGGGGTGGTAATCCCCTTGGACAGTACCTACGATTCGACTGATTACATTCAATACATCTGAGTCTATGGGCCTGAAGTTGACCATTGGGAGCACTTTAACCCCACAAATACACAACGTGTATTCCCCATAGACGAGGACCCACATATAAGCGGAAAACATGCATGTTTTGAGTTAAACGAACTAACTTAGTATTTTTGTCGGCGCATTCATTATCAGTTCAACAGACATTAATGGTTCGCAGTATTGACCAACATGGCTGATACCCCCGATAAAGTCGATGGAGGCGTCTTTATATAACGTTCGTAACAATCTGACGACCACCGTCCTAACGTTTTAATGAGCCATGACGGCAGTTTAGCTTCAGCAGCAGTTGTTGCTTCCCCTATCCTGCAGCTATGGCCCGCATAGTCTGCGGCATTGAAACCCGTTTGAGTCAACAGTTGCCGGGTTTTGATGGTTAAAGTTTGTTTTGTGAGAGGTTTTCCTGATGCATGAATAAACAGAGGCCCAGATGTTATGGGCCGACGCAAAAAATATGTTTTCAAGGCTTGCACAGGGCGAACCTCGGAATCAGTGACCCCGACTGTGATAGTATGGCCCAGCCGGAATGGGTCCGTCTTTGATTCTTTAATGTGAACAGTCATAAATTGAGGGCTTTTTATGCCAAGATTTGGTGAAAAAAACGATGCTATCTCGGGAAAGGTGAATATTTGGATTATATTTAGAGTTGCATGTTAGCTCACCAAGACGGAGAAAGCCAAAGAAGGCTAGTGTCATTGCTGCCCATATCATCAGGGAGTCAAAGTTTTGTGTTCTGGGGATCGCAAGCAACAGTCTAAAAAGCTTCAAATGGTGAATAGTGATTGGTAGGCGAACTCTAACTTGGTCTCCATGGGAACGTTTAATTCCTCGTAACACAAGTTGCAAGCGTAACATTTTGTGCAAGTTTAGCTGGAAACCATGGCGAACGTGGTAATGGCGAACTGCTGCTAAATATATTTTTATGGAAGGATATTTGATAGATTTAGCCAGAAATGCCACAAATTCTGTTAACAGTGATTCGTCGGCAGGCAGACATTGCTCAATCTGCATTCTCTTATATAAATGTATAAATGATATGAAGCGTTTTTCACCTGAGCTATAAGTTTGCTGTGTTGTAGGTGCAAGTGACAAGTTTATATACTCTTGGATGTCCTTATTCAAAGAGTCATGACTATGTCTGGAATTTGAGAAGGACTGGTATCTGCTTCTGGAGCCAAATGTCGAAACCTCTGAAATTGAAAACGAGAAATTGCATCGGCTATGTCATTGTGTTTTCCTGGAATATGGACAGCACGTATATATATGTTGTGCTGCAACGTTAAAAGTGTTAAGTGTCGCAGTAGATCCATGACTCTGGGAATTCGAGAGCGTTTTGTATTTATCATGCTTACTACAGCCTCGTTATCGCAATGAAATGTAATGCGATGGTCATGTAGGAGATTACCCCAGATCTGGCGTCAGTGGCGTAGCTAGCGGTCCCGCTGTCCCGCCTGGCGGGACTAAAAATTTCATAAAAAAAATGAGGAAATGCTTTATAGTGAAGCCAAATTAACAGCTTTTCTTATTCTGAAAATTTATATAATTATGATCATTTTTCAGTGCTTTCATTTATTTATTTAAAGTTTACGCAATGTTGCTGTCTGCTCTTTGACCTCTGAAACCCAAAATTAGCTAATTTCCACGCAATTATTGCTTACTCACGCAATTCGTGAATTGCATGTCTCGTGTTCCGCTGATTTTCATATGGCGGGATATGCAATACTATTTTATACAAGAAATTCTGGTTTCTGATTGGATAATTGGCGCAGCGCATGCTCAGAACGGCTGTTTTTAATGCCGAAGTCCCGCTATTTTATAAAGGCGGAGGTTGTCAACTCAATTCCATATATTAAAGAACTCCGCGAGTATTTGCAGTAGAAATACGAAAATACCACCAAAAAATTACGCTTGAAAGATACTATGTAATTGAACAATGTAAAATAGTCATAAATTATAAACTAGCCAAACTCGAACAATGTAAACTAACCATACCTATATACAATATATACTCGAACCGATGTAAACAATGTATCACTATTTAATAAGCCATATATACCTTTCGCCGAAATTATATTATAACTTCGGCTACTTTCAACGTTTCATTTTGGTATTAGTCTTGTTCGAATCACAATCTAACAGACTATTTAGAGTGTTATGTTCAAGCTTGTATCTGCAGATTTGCATCTTTTATTGCGGTATTTCAAAATATCTAAATTTTACGCGAGAGCTTTGACCGGAGGTTCAAGTTCAAATATCCAAAACAATGCTAGCACTCGGGAAACGTCGGAAATCGATTCTAAAGGTCAAATTACCCGTGTAGCGTGATTTGCACGTGCATCGGGCTATGGGGTTCCTTAGCAAGGCAAAATATTCCTGTTTAAATGGAGATGTATTGAAACTTCGGCGGGACGATTATTTTGAGCCAGCTACGCCACTGTCTGGCATGCAACCACTATCGCAAAAAGCTCTTGCCAAGATATACTAATGCCAGGTTGGCCTAATTTTTGATGAGGTTTCCACCTTCCTTGAAACCATTTTGTACCAAAAATACCCCCAAAACCTAGTGTGCCAGAAGCATCAGTGTGCATGTCTAATGTATTGGAATCGTGCCATTCAGATGACAGAAAGAAATTTGCACCATTCCAGTTAAGAAGAAACTCTTTCCACATTTGAAGATCTTGAAAGAAACCGGAATTAAGCTTAATGTGGTGATGTTGCTTTTTTACGTTTCTTGTTAGAGCAACCATGCGTTGTAAGAAGGGCCGCCCAGGAGGAACGACTTTACATGCAAAATTTAAAGTGCCTATTAACGACTGCAATTCTTTAAGTGTACAAGATTTTCTATGTTGAAATTGCCCAAAAATGGCATGCAGCCTTTCAATTTTGTCAGCAGGGAGTCGAGCTTGCATTTTGATAGTGTCTAGCAAAATACCCATGAATTCAAGTACCTGTGAAGGCCCTTGTGTTTTCCCTTGGGCTATAGGGATATTAATGGTTTCAAATGTAGATAACATGTTTGTTAAGCTTTGCTGACAAGTACTGTCAAAAGGAGGCATAGTGGCTGGAGGCTCAATTAAGAGAAAATCGTCCAAAATATGGCAGACAAATGAGATCTTACACTTATTGAGTAGAATCGACTCTAAGGCATCTGAAAGTGTGTTAAAAATTGAAGGGGCACTCCTTAGGCCGAATGGAAGAACCTTATCATAATAGTATTCCCCTTCCCAGCACATCCCCAGCAATTCATAGTCATCTGGATGGATTGGTACAAGTCTAAAAGCTGATTCAATGTCAGTTTTAGCAAGAAAGCAACCTGGGCCAAACCGCTTAATACCCTCGATAGCATCGTCTATAGTAACATACTGGAGACTGAAATCCTCTTTCGAAATACTGAAATTTATGCTGGTTGAGCCAGATTTTGGATATGATAAATGGAAAATTGTACGAAATTTATTTGAATTCTTTTTAGGTACTAAGCCAATCGGAGAGACCTGAAAATTCTGAAACGGCGGAGTATCAAAAGGACCAGCCATGCGGCCAAGAGAAACCTCAGTTTCCAAATTTGAGGAAACAATATCCGGATTAGCAAAAGCAGTAGGCAAATTTTTTGAAAACCTTGGGGCGCGTTGCCCCTGAAACCCAATGCGTACACCTTGTTTAAAATTATTACAGAGCTGCAAAACGAAATTGTGGTCTGGGTGACCAGAAAGTGCTAATTCTAGGTTTTTAATAGAAACAGGTGTTGGTAGTGGTGTATCTTTACTCGCGTTTGGACTTTGAGGATTTGGAACCACGCTTTGAGGTTGGCTCTTCATCGTCAGCGGGTTTAGACTTGAGCAAGGAGCATTTACTTCCCGGGTGTGGGTTACTACATTTGTTGCACACGTGGCGGTATCGGCATGGCTCTCGAGTACAGTAGCCCCACCTGTTGTAATCGTGGCAGTAGCCTCCTCGTTCGCCCCCTGAGGAAGCCCGGTTTTGGGGTCCATTAGAAAAAATAGGATAGTGTTGTACTAGCATATCTGGGCTGGTGGTAAATATCATCAGCCACAATTGTTGATCAATCATGGACCAAGTCATACTGGGGTTAAGTGCAGCCTTGCATCTAAATTTATGATCATATATACACCATCCCAGACCACGGTGAGTTTGGGCTGCATGGCGTATCAAACTCATATATTGTAGAAGTTCCTGGGCCCGACCTGGGTACTGATGGGTCATAACACTCATGTAAACGGTAAACGCGGTTGTCCACTGTTCAATTTCAGTGATCCTGGCGGTTGGCTGAGATGCCTTTTTGGCTTTGATCACAGAGTTCTCTAATGTTAATATGATAGGCTCCTCCGATGTATTAGAGAAAGACATATTTCTTGGCAATAATTTAGACAAATCGAAGAACTCACCCGTCTGTATTTGCCTGACATATGACGCAGGAACCTCATGGAATCCATTTCCGTAGGGAACGATGTTTGCAGCTTGATTCGATCCAACCGTGTTAGTTGCCACAGTCTCGAGGCTGGCGTTAGCCGTACTTTCAACTTCATCCACAACGATTGGAATACTTGGAACGCGAGGCGTCGAGTTCGACATGGCTTGAACGGCAGCTCGGGCTGCGTTTGTCGCTATTTCTGCCACGGACTGCTCCACACTGCGAGAAACTATACCTTGTATTTGGGCTAGCTGTGATTCCGTTAGTGCTGGTTGTGTTTCTGGAATAACTGGTCGCGATTCAGATGATGTTGACGGCAAATTTGCATTTGCTGCGGCATGTTGTTGCAGACGCGCGATTAAAACATTGCGACGTCCATTGGTTGGTAAACCTTTCTCGGCGCATTGTTGTCGAAGGTTCGCTACGTTATCCGTTGTATTTTGCGAAGAACTTCCCTCGTTTATTTCACGTGTTCTACCGCGTCGTACGGGAGGCATCGCGATGAATTATTAAAGAATTTGAGCAGCTTTTGATATATCCTATAGCTCTGCAAACGTTAAACAAAGTGATATATTCCGAGCATGCTTTGACTTTTCATTGCCTATTCTGAATTTGATTGGTCAGTTTTGGCGGTTTGAGGAAACTGTATTCTCATTGGCTGGTAGCTGTTGTATCATCACCTGTGCATGTGCATACATTGAATTTATATAATTGTATATATAAATTGGCTCAAAACCGAAAAATCTGATCCTGTTAAAACAAATCAGAAAATTTATGTTGTATATTCTATACCATGCGATGACTGTGAGAAAGAGTATCTGGGTCAGTTTGGAGTATCTGGGTCAGATCTGTTGCGAGTCAAGATGGCGGCATATTTTTGCACTTATCACTTTTGTCATATGTATTATACATTTTTTTGTGTCTATATACGTCTTTGTACTTTTTTGTTATTAACAACGAGCCAAACTGCTGCACTAACGGCAGAAGATCTTGTCATGATCCTTGGTAAGAAACTAGAAAGAAATCAGAGATCATTTCATCAGGCAATGGACGATTTCAAGCAGAGTGTGACTTTGTAAGTGAGTAATTTGATTCTTTGCTCCATGCATGGCTCGGAGGTGGAAGAAGAGTGTGAGGAGGCTCTAACGGAAAAATTTATAATAGCTGTAGTATTACGATTTTTAAATGTTATTAAACTTTAATTTATCTAGCTTTTCAATGATAAGGTGGACTTGAATAACTTAGATTCTTGCACTTCACTTGGTGGAATTAATATTAGGATGTTAGGGTTTGTTTTCCAAGTGAACGGCCGTGTGTTCAAGAGGACCTTGTGCTGCATTTTTCGCAGTCGTTCCTCATCGTAACGATGAGAAATAGCCACATAATCGTCAAATAAAAATTGCCGGTCGAAATCACATTCTTCCACCGTTTTCTAAATACTAACTTACATAATCGACAGCATTTTGTATCAGATATCCTAGCTGTTTCAGTCATGATTTAAAGAAAGTAAAATTCCATATATATATATATATATATATATATATATATATATATATATATATATATATATATATATATATATATATATATATATATATATATATATATATATACCATCAGCAAATTTACGCTTTCATCCAAGGGACTGCTCACAATACCCTCAGTAAAATTGGTTAACTATGGCGAACGATCGTTCTCATATGCGGCACCGAAACTGTGGAACGAACTACCAGAACATTTTAGAAAGAGTGAGACCTTGCCTATTTTTAAAACTAGATTAAAGACACATCTTTTTAAACAGTGTTATGACTAAGTACTATTTTAACAAGAGTATTACCAATTTTATAGTATTTTATATAGTTTTGTTTTAATATTGTCAACATTTATAGCATAAAGTAATTTTATATTCATAATGAAAAGAACATATAGTACTTTTAGTATAGTTAATGTATGTATTACCAACCTTAGTATTATGCATGTACTTATATATAGTATATATTTTTAACACTTAATGTTAAGCGCCATTGAGCTACAGGAAATGGCGCTATATAAATGAGTAATAATAATAATAATAATAATAATAATAATATTAGTAAATTCCATATTATTAAATTTCAGAAAGTAAATTCCATATTTAATGTATTTTTAAACTATATATAATGTATAAACGTTTCATACCGAATCATTGTCTTGCGTGTTCCTTGCACTATTCACATTCCTGTAGAAGAACGTACTATTCGAACGTTTGAACTTCTTCCCGAACTTATTCAGTTCCACAGAATATTATCTTCGCGATCTAGGCAAACTATATAAAAATAAAACAATGACGAAATTATTTGTCCTAACTATCTACCATTACTAGCACCATTCTCCCAGTAAACGCAGATAATAGGTTGAACAGTGACCGATCTTTTTATATGTTCACATGAATTAAAATCGGACGTCGAATTCAACGATAAAATTGCAGTTTGTCATCGTAAAGTGATAAAGGTAACTGTAAAAAATATAAATGAGTAAGAAATATAACGATTAAAGTTCTAAAATTAAGTTTTTGGACTGAATAAGTTAGATGGTGCATCCGTAGTTATATATATATCGTTTTTTGGTTGTAAAACATACCAAAAGATTGGATAGCGCCATTCACAGATTCACCGAATCATTATTTTTCTAGCTTTCGTAAATTGGCAGTCAATTACAGTCAGTATTTATAAATTAATCGTCCACGCGACCATTGGTTTGTCATGAAATGAGTAATAGCAAGAGTGGTATCTTCACCAGAGAGAGAATATTGAATAACCTGCCTGCGGGCTCTGCAACATCCCAAAGTCAGGTTGAGTTTTGTGGTGACTGAGACTCGAGATCATTGTGATTATATTTGATGATGTAGTAATTAGTCGCTGGGGTACGGGTACCTGTGCCAGCGACTAAACTCTAAAGGTTTCGGCACGGTATTTTCTTCGCCGTTGGACACAAAATGGAAAAAATCCACTGATCTCATAGTAGTAAATAGATATATTTAGATACGCAGGGCCCCTATGGATACCAGCTTAGTGCTGAATGGCCTACCCTGCTAAAATAAAGTTATCTTATCTTATCTTACCTAGTCTGGATATACGTAGCTTCTAGAATGAGCATGAACCAGGGCGTATTTTCGCAAATTTGAGATAATTTGCTACGGATGTTTTACTACGCTGATCGATCCAACGTGGATAAAAGATGTCGTGTAAATGCTTTTAAAACCAAAAATATCGAGATTGCTCCAAAATACAGCTTTATTAAGAGGCTCATGTAGTAATGTTTAAAAGATACTTTAATATCAATACGTTAGTTTATATACACGTGGCCCCATCATTAGTAATAGTTAATATTGGTAACAGTTAATCTTAATTGAATCACATTACATTTCCCTTTTCTTAAAGATATAAAACAGAATGTCAACTTAGCTATGTCTTTCGCTTATCTTAATTGTAACTTTAATGTTTTAATAATTTTGAATGTCAACTACTCTAGTCCAAGATTTTCTCTTGCTTTCAAAGACAATGTTTTAATTCTGTTAGGTCTGCTATTTATATTTAATGATGGTGTTGTTTCCTGTTGGTCTTGTTTCTTATCAATGTCCTTGGGAATGTTTTGCAGCTGTACTCGGTTTCGTCTTACTACCGTTGTAGGAGTATCAACCAGATATGATCTTGGTTTCTTTGATGGTCTAATTACTGTTCCGGTACAATCCATGTCTGTGATGTAAACTGGTGCTCCTGGTGGTAGAGGTTTTAATGGTTGAGCTTTGTGGCGATTGTCAAAGTTCTTTTTCTGCTTCGATCTATATACTTCTTCCTTTTCTATGAAGAGTTTCTGGTTTGGCAGTTGTGGTGTTAAATGTGGTAGCGTTATTGGTATTGTTGACTTTATCTTTCTTCCCATAAGGAGTTCTGCTGGAGAGTATCCGCTTGCTAATGGTGTTGATCTATATGCCAGTAGTGCTTTTGTTGGGTCTTGTTCCTTCTTCAGGATGTTTTTCACTGTCTTTACTGCTCGTTCCACTCGCTTGAGGATAACGAGGGCTGCTGGTACTGTGTTTGAATCCCCACTCCTTTGCAAACTGGGCGAATTCGTCACTATGATATTGAGGACCATTGTCGGAACGTACCTCGTCAGGAATCCCGTGCCTGGCGAAAATGGTTTTCAGGGCTTGGATGATCTTCGATGAACTTGTACTTTTAGGTAATGCCACAACTTCGACATAGCGAGAATAATAATCTACCACCAGTAGGTACAGTAAGTAACCTTTTCTAGAATAAAAAGGTCTGTTGCAATCAATTGCCATGGTCTTTGAGGGAGTGGCGTTGGCATCAATGGTTCTGGATGCTGCTGTCTGTATTTGCTGCATGTTGTACAGTTTTCGACCATGACTTTAATTTGGGCACTGAGTCCTGGCCACCAAACGGATATTTTGGCTCGTTCTCTGCATTTGCTGATACCTTGGTGACCTTCGTGTATTTGGTTGAGGGTTTGGCGTTGCAAGCTGGATGGAATGACCAGTCTTGTTCCTTTGAGCAATAACCCGTCGGCGATGGTGAGTTCTCCTTGTACTGACCAGTAAGGTTTTACGGCAGGAGTGACATGATCTTTTTCTGGCCATTGATCCATACAGTATTTCTTCACTTCTTTGCATACCTCGTCTTCATCTTGGGCTTGTTGGATTTCCTTCAATCTCGGATTAGATGCGGGCAAGGCATCAATTACACTTAAAACGTAAGCGTTCATTTCGTTTTCTTCTACGGTTGGTTGGACTGTGCTTTCAGGTATCTTCCTGGACAGAGTGTCGGCTGTGTAGTGTAGTTTTCCAAGGTACGTGTCGAACATCTTTGATGTGGAATCTCATTAGTCTCATCTTGTAGCGCTGTAGTCTTGGAGGTAACTTGTCGATGGTATGGTTGGTTAATAAATGTACCAGTAGTTTGTGGTCAGTTTCAATTGTTATTGGTTTTCCAATTATGTAATTGCTTGACCGTTCACATGCCCAAGTTACCGCTAGAGCTTCTTTCTCTATCTGGGCATACCTAGCCTCGGTTGTTGTCATCGATCTTGAAATGAATGATACAGGTTTCCAGGTGTCTGGTTCTTCTTCTTGCAGCACCACCGCTCCAAGGCCGTATGATGATGCGTCGGCTGCTATTTTGGTTGCTTTGTTGGGGTCGTACAAGGTTAGTATCGGTGCTGATGTCAGGGCTTTCTTGAATTTGTCAAAAGCGTCTTGTTGTGGTGGTCCCCATGTCCACGCAGTGTTCTTAACTGGCAGTTCTCGGATGGGCTTTGTCAGGTCAGCAAGATTGGTGGTAAATTTGCTAAATTGGTTTACCATTCCAAGAAAGGAACGGACTTCATGTAGGTTGGTTGGGTGTGGCATTTCGAGAATCGCTTGTATTTTCTCTGGATCGGGTTTGATGCCATCGGCTCCCACGATCTGACCTAGGAATTTCACACTCGAGACGTTAAAAACACACTTTTCGGCATTTAGCGTGACGTTGGCGTTATCGAGTCGTTGGAGAACCGCTTCCAATCTTCGGTCGTGTTCTTCTTGTGTTGCACCGTGAACTAGAACATCATCGATGTTGCAATCGACACCATCCAAACCTTCGAGAATTTGGCACATACATTTCTGAAACTTTCAGACTCTGAACTTATTCCGAAAGGAAGAACGTTGAAACAGTACCGTCCCCAGTGTGTTATGAACGTTGTTAGAGGTTTTGATTTTTCCAAGAGCTTGATTTGCCAAAATCCAGAGTTGGCGTCTAACTTTGTGAAATACCGAGCTCCGGCAAGGTTTGCAAATGTCGTGTCGGTTGTTGGTAGGGGATGGTTTTCACGTTGCACGAACTGATTAAGCTTTGTGAGATCTACGCATACTCGAACTTTTCCATTGCTTTTTGGCGTTACAACCATCGGGGCGCACCATTCGGTTGGATCTTCAACTCGAGATATTACTCCGTTGCGTTCCATTCTTTGTAATTCCCGTTCGGTTTTTTTTCGAAGTGGTATCGGAACTTGTCGTGGAACCGTGATTGCAAAAGGTGTTGCTTCGCGCGTGACTTTAATATCATACTCTTGGTCTTTAATTTGTCCTAGACCAGTGAAAAGATTGGGATACTTTTCTTTGACGCTTTCTTTCATTTCGTTGCTGTTTAGAGCGTCGACACAGTTGAGTAAATTCAGATTGTGGGCTGCTTGTCTTCCTATATAATAATGATCTTTTGAGTCCTTTAACGACGAATATTTCTTCTGTAGTTGTCTTGTCCTCGTGTCGCAGCTGTGAAGTGAATGTTCCTATACAGTTCATTTTGTAATTGCACGGGCCCATAAGAACTTTGCCAGTCGACTTGAGTGTTGACTGTAGTTTTCGTTGTTGATATACTGTTAAAGGTATCACTGTGACGTCAGCGCCGCTGTCGATTTTGAATAAAATATTTGTTTCGTTTAATTTACCTTTATGTCTGCAGTCCACGGTTTATTGCCAGATTTATTGATAGTATCAAGGTGTACGACTTCGCCCAAAAAGTAGACATCTTCCTCAGACGAACTTTCCTCCTCGGTTTCTTGGCGGGAAGTTAGTTCGTTAACTTGTTTCTTGCGAAGTTGTTGGCTTGCTTGGCTTCGACATGCTTTTGCCCAATGTCCTTTCTTTGAACAGTTATTACAGATGGACTCACTTGCTGGGCAGAATTGCCTGGAGTGCGCTGGTCCGAGACACCGCATACATTTGGGTTTGCCGTCCATTTTGCCGTATTTTCTGTCGTTAAAATTTTTTTCGCGCGAATCCCGCGAGGGTTGTTTTCTATTCTTAGAAATGTTGTCAATATTATGCTCGCTACTTCCGCTAAAGTAAGATCTGGATCTAATTGTAATTTCTCAGACAACTTTTTATTTCTCAGTCCGACGACGATGCGATCTCTTATTAGCTGATCCTTTAATACGCCAAATTCGCAATACTTAGCAAGACAGTGCAGGTCGGTAATAAAACTTTCGACAGGTTCGTTTTCGTCTGGAATTCGAACGTTGAACTTTGCTCTTTCAAAAATAACGTTTCGTTTGGCGATGAAGTGATTTTCAAACTTGTCTCGAACTGTTTCGTAGCTTTTCATTTCTTGTTCGCTGAGACCAAACGATGTTATTATGTCATCTGCCTCGTCGCCCATAGTATAATATATAAGCGCGTTGACTTGTTTGGCTTCCTCTTTCTTGTCGAGTTCTGTCGCAATTCTGAATCGCTCAAAGCGACGAATCCATCGGGTCCACTCCGAGGATTTAAAGCTAAATTTCGACGGAGGTGTCACTTGATATGTTGTGAAACTTCTCGCGGTATTTACCTCGTTTGGTTCTGCCATATTTAACTTATGCTGAAATAGGTTTCTTGTACTCTATTTCACACGTACGTATACTATGTTTTTGTTTTGTTGTTTTTATATCGTTTGTGCTTATTAGTTTATAATAAGTTTATTTAATTTCTTTCGGTCACTCGAGTATCCCACCGCTGCCACCATGTAGTAAGGTTTGAAAGAGACTTTAATAATAATAATTACAATATTTAGTTAGGGGGTCCACTCACGAAAGTGATTTTCAGTGGAGCCCTGATAGAAAAAATAAAAGAATAAAAATATAAAACTAACAAAACTGAATATATGGAAAGTTATATCGTATCTTCTTGCGCATCCAATCGGTTCGGTAGAGAGTCCTATGGCTATGTACCTAAATGTTTCTTTAGTTTAGTTTTAAAAGTTCTAATTTGCTGTATTTTTTAATTTGCTGTACTATTCCAGTCGTTGGCAGCATGGTAGCTGAATGCCTGATTCCCTCAGTTCTTCTTGACGCGTTCCAAATGTATGTTCTGTTTGTTTCGAGTGTTGTAGCTGTGGATGTCAGAGGAGAACTTGAAATTAAATTTAACATCGATGTCATTGTTTAAACACTTGTGCATGATTAGACAACGGTGAAGGTGTCTACGAGTTGCTAACGGCTGCCAATTTAACGATCGTAGGGATTCTGAGGCTGACGAGAGTGGATGAGCGTCAAGAATTATTTTAGCGGCTTTGTTGTGAAGAACTTGAAGGTGGTTCATCAGGACAGAGTTGTTTTTATCACC